GAAGATAGAAAAGATGAAGTCTTTTTGCTTACAAGCAATATTTTCAAATCTTGATCCGATGAGATATAAAAGTTAAAAATAGAAGATAATAAGATATTTTCCCTTTAAATTAATAGGAGTCTAACACCTACTCTCTTAATATCTACTACTTTATCATTTAAATCTTTGTCTACTATTATAATGCTTTTCTCATTTCTATAATTATCTTTTCCTTTATATATGAAAGTTTATATCCATCAATTTCCTTAGCTTTTGCCCCTCTCCACAATTTCCTGTAAGCAAGCTATGTTAACTCTATTTCATCTCATTGTATCTACTAACTCCATATTCTTATCCTTGGCAAGGTTCCTACATTCCATGTGGCTAGAGGAGTCATATTCTCTTACCAAGAATAATATATATAAAATATTTCAAACTAGCGGCTTGAACTTGGGAACAGCTGAATAAGAATGGAAGCCTATCACTCGTGCCACTCATGACTCATATGAGTTAAAGATATTAAATGTCTATTTACATATTCATTAAAAGTAGTTTTTTATATGTAAAAATAATAATTATACGGACATGTTTTACGGTGCCCGTCCTTTTCAGAAAAGTAGTAGATATTGTAATATATTTTAGACAGTGACACTCGTACTAGTGTCCATGTAACACTGCTTAAAGGCTTCATTTTTTTTTTGTTGGATTGTTAACCTTCATTGCTAGGTATACAAAAATATACATGCATCAAAAAGCTGTGGAAGATATATACATGCATCTTTCCAGAATTTTGATTTAGCAAAGCAGCATATAGAACAATGCGCTCTCGGGAATAAGAATCAGTTATTCTCTCAGCTATGACATGGTGCAACCATACAAGAGTCAGTCATTTTCAAAGCTTTCAAAGATAATTGGTATGATCAAATATTGACAACAACATCATTGATAGCTTCATAAATACGTTAAAAATAATATAATCATGTAAAGTTGCCACCTCATCTAGCGCATAAATCTGCCATCACATTCATCTTTGAAGTGCTGGGAACATACCCCGACAATCTTAACTGACTGTCCATTCCAATGAGCATCGAGCATAGCATTTCAAACTGTGGGTGTGAATCATCTGCAACAAGAAACTCATGAATAACACCATTTACTTCGATAAAAGTGCACCCAGGTTGCTTCCTAACTCCCCCATCTCTAATGAATTTCCTAACTCTATGCACATCTTCCCATTTAGAAAAAGATGCATAAATATTTGACAACATAACATGAACCCCACAATTTCCAGGTTCCAATTTGAGTATCTCTTTAGCTGCTCTCTCAGCCAATTTAATATCTCCATCTTGCCTACATGCATACAATAGTGCTCTCCAAATCACTGCATCAGGTTTAATGGGCATCAATTCTATGAAATCTGCAGCCTGCAACAAGAGATTAGCACGCCCAAGAAGGTCAACCATGCACCCGTAGTGCTCGATTCTTGGCTTCAACCCATAATTCTCAATCATCAAATTGAAATAATGGTGCCCCTCCCTAACCAATCCTCCATGACTACAAGCAGATAGAACACCCAAAAATGTAACCTCATTAGGCCTCACACTGGATGCATCCATCTGTTTAAAAAGTTCCAAAGCATCATAACAATCCCCATTCATGGCGAGCCCTGATATCATCACAGTCCACGAGAAAACATCTTTCTTGACCATCTCTCTAAACAACGCCGAGGCTCTATTGATGCTTCCACACTTTGAATACATATCAATCAGAGAATTATTTACAGTGAGATTCATTTCTATATGGTTTTTTTCACAGAAGGCATGAACCCATCGACCCATATCGAGGGCCCCAAGATGAGCACAGGCCTTAAGCACACAAACCACAGTGGCCTCATCAGGATTCACATTCTTAACCTGCATCTCTCTAAAGAGTTCTATGGCCTCTTTGAAATAACCCAACTGTGAATAACCAGCTATCATGGAGGTCCAAGAAACCACATTTCTTTCAGGCATTTCGTCAAACACGTTCCGAGCTTCAACTATAGACCCACATTTTGAATACAAATCTATCAGAGCTGAACCTACAAACACATCTAACCCTAAACCTAGCTCATGGATTATATTGTGGAGCCTCTTCCCTGTATCCAGGTCCCCTGTTCGAGCACAAGCAGCAAGAGCACTAGCAATTGTGAATCCATTAGGGTTTATAGAATTCCTAAGCATTTCTTCAAATTGCTTCAAAGCATGCTCTGATTCTCCTCTCTGTAAATAACAAGCAATGATACAGTTCCATGAAACCACGTCTCTGGTCTTCATGGAATCGAATACCATTTTAGCTTCTCTTATTGAGTTGCAGGATCCATACATGGAGACCATAGAATTCTGAACAAAAACATCGGATTCAAACCCTAATTTTACGGTGGTGGCATGAATCTCTTCACCCTTTGGTTTTAGAGAGAGACGGGCACAGGCCTTGAAGACAAAGGGGAAAGTGTAATTGTCTAGAGAGAGAAAGTAATGGCGTAGAATGTGGTTGTAAAGGAGGACGCTTTGTTGGGGTTGTGAGCTGTGAGCGTAAGCTCTGATAATGGCGTTCCATGTAAAGAGATTCGGAATTGGGTTAGTGATCAAGAGACAGAGAAGCTGGTTGAGGTGTTTGGTGTTGGAGCACTTCTGGAGGAGAGAGAGAGGAGTGTGAGGGGCCAATGTCGTGTGGAATTTTAGGATGGACTGTGCGTTGATAGAGGAGAGAGAGTAGCGCATCAAATTCTTAGTGAGATGAGGTTATGGAGAAATGAAAAAAAACAAGAAAGCAGGCTTTGTTCTCTCTCTATTAAGAAGCAGGTTTTGGTCTCTCTCTCAACTTTCAGAACTGAGATTATGGAGAGAAGAAAGGCCAAACCAGACCATAAGAATTGCTCTCTCTCTCTCTCTCTAAACAACAAACTTCGTTCCATCCCTCTCTAACAAGCTTCACTCTCTCTAACCAGTCTCTCTCTCTTCAAGAGGGGTGCAAAAAAGTAGGGAGAAGTGAAAAAATGGAGAGACGAAAAAGCTTCCTCTCTCTCTAACAACCTGTATTTTTCCCTGTCTGCAAGTATCAGCGGTTAGAAAATGAGCAAATAGCTTCAAGGCCCTCAACATCATATTTAAAGACAATAATACCGGTGGTTTTTGTGATAGAATAGAATGGATGCAACTTGCTTAAGGAATATAGGTTACATGAAAACAAAATAAAGCCTCACCTCGTATTCTCGCTTGATAAATACAAAATCTTCATTATGGCTTTAAATTTAATTTTCAACACAACTATAAAATTTGAAGCTTGAAAAATGATATAGATTTTACAGATCTATGAATACTTATTTTTAGAGCGAATTAGATATTCTAGAGCTATGAGGTGAGGCTATAGAGATGCAGCCCTATCAAACCATTTTTTAAAAAAACTACTATTCCTAAATTTCAATTTAAGTTTTCCAGATTTATGATCACTGAATAACTACTCCTAAAAATATAATTTGAATTATTGTTTGAAAAAAACGATGATTTGGATTGAGAATTATCGATCCAAATTGAGAATTAGGTGATCCAGATCACTTGAGTCCACAAATTCTTACTTTTAAAAAAAAATTTATTGAATTTTAAAAATATGTAAAATTTTCTTCAACCATTTCCCAATCCATTCGGTCTGATCTGGATCTATCCAACAACCACATCCGGGTCTTCATATGAATTCAGGAGTTCATTGAAGTTCTACGATTAACTAGCCGTTTTACTGCGGAGCTAAATGAAACGGATTGTTTTGACATTGAGACAAAAAACAAGGGTAGTTTAAGCAAAGTCATTTTTCCGGGATATTTTCGATTTATGGCTGAGATTTCACCCCTCGCACGCGACGCAAACTATCTTCTCTAGCCGCTTCTTTTCACTTCGCGCTCACGAGTCTCTCTCTCGCTTGTTTCTCTCTCTAACTTCAAAATTCTCTCTAACTTCAAAAATTTTTCTCTTAAAGCTTCGAACCTAACGTTAATGGCGGCTTTTCTCTTATTCACTGAGTGCACCCTTTTCGTTCTCATCTGAAATTCACATATTTTAAGCTTCAGAATGGCCGCCATTGGAGTTTCTCTATCTTCTTTCTCTCTGTCTGAAGGTGAATCTTTTTCTTTATCCAAGCTCAAATACCCTTCGTCCAGTCCCTGCAAGTGGATTCTAGAGAGAGAAACTGATTTCGGTAGACTCAAGAAACGGAACTCCGCGACCATGAAGGCTTTGTATACAGAAGGGGTTTTGGTGCATAAGTTATCGCAGTCTATTATTGCAAGCAAATGGATTCTAGAGAGAAAAACCTCCTTTCAAAGAACCAAGAAATGCATCCTCTGCAAATGGAATCTAGTGAGAGAAAACCCCCTTCAAAGAGCCAAGAAAGGGCATCCTGAACCTGTAAAGGCTGTTTACACAGAAGGGGTTTCAGCTCCCGGCTCTTCAATGGCAGTTCAAAGAGAGAAACAGGACTCAGAATCTGACCCCATCTCCATTTTGAACGAGAGAATTCAACGAGAAAACAGCAACAGAGCAAATTTTAGGACTGCAATGGACTCAGAGGAAGCGGAGAAATACATTCAAATGGTGAAACAACAACAACAAAGGGGCCTGCAAAAATTAAAAGGAGATAGGGAGGGTAAATTAGAGGGTTTCAGCTACAAAGTGGATCCTTATACTCTCAAAAATGGTGATTATATTGTGCACAAAAAGGTAGGAATTGGAAGGTTTGCAGGGATTAAGTATGATGTTCCGAAGGGCTCAACTCAGCCGATTGAGTATGTTTTCATTGAATATGCGGATGGAATGGCAAAGCTCCCGGTCAAGCAAGCTTATCGATTGCTCTATCGCTACAATCTGTAAGTTTTTCTATCCTGTGCAGTGAGAGAGAGACAGAGATCTTGTTGATAATTTAGAGCATGACATCATATTGATAATTGAGGGACCATTAACATAGGGAGGTGCTGAAATTTAATGAGAACTTTTTGGCGTCAATGGGGCAACTGATTATGGGCTTTCTAGGACTAAAATTGTAGAATGCAGGAATGATACATGCTAAGCTTTTTTAATTTAATCATTAGGCTTTATTTATGTTTTACTATATAATCATAAAGGAAAAAGCTTATATAAGGTTGCAAACTTAAAATGTAGAATTAAGGAATCCATCATAGAAGGTTGTTTTGATGTTGGAAAATCCTCTAATTGATCATCTCAGCATCGACATGTATAAATATGAAAAGAAAAAAGGATTTTGAGTTCTAACAATAGTGTATCTTGCAACAAATTATCTAGACCATCCATTTTCAAGATTTTGAAGTGTTTATAGATCTACTTGGTTTGAACTGTTTTTGGAGTTTAAGATTTTATATATAGAGATGAAAATAAATTCTCAAGCCATCCTAAGAATTGTTTTCACCAAAATTATATTTACGTTAAAATTTGGAGGTGCGCCTTAATTTGATTGTTTAAGGTTGCAACCTTATACAAACCGCACCCAATCATAAATTATTGTCAATTTCATAATTTTTATCTCTTCTTTGATGTTGGTGGATAAATCATAAGTGGATTGGTATTTGTGGTTTCTGATTCGATTAACGATTCTTAAAAAATATAAAATGATGGGCATGTATCATGCATCTCTTGATGATTACATTATTCAGCTATAAATGTCTTTTCTCTTCGTAGATTCAAGTTGCTATGAATGTATGGTTCTTTTTCTTTTTTATGTTTAGGCAATATATGGTTAACACTTGTTCAAATAAAAATATATAGTTAGTTGTGTGACTCACTTGTATCATTCTAATGGTCTAAAAATACTATATTTTTTGTACAATTTAGTTTTTAGGATGTTCACAGCATGTGTTGTTTAATTTTCACACTTTCTTATTGGTGACTTTTTGCTGTGTCATCACTTTGTGTTCTAGACAAGTTTGATACCTTTTCAGTTTTTAGGGATATTCATTTGTGAGTGTTTTGTCCATGCAAAATTAATGAAATATGGTCACATCTTGCATGATATGAAAAAATTTAAAGCATGACATAATGGATGTATAAGTTTCTCTATCATAGACATAGGAGCAAGATATTTGCCCATGACTCAAATGTGTTTCTTTAAGAAATGTAAAGTAAGTAGTTTGAAAAGCTTTTGGTTTGACCTGTCATGCAAATCATTGTTTCTTGAAAACTATGATTTCAGAGTTCCTATCTTGCATCTATTATATGATATTATGGCTTAGAAGGAGCTTTAGGTGTGCCATGCTCTCTATTGACTGCCTTATGGGCTCTCATTTTGTGCACTGGGCCTTTTTTGGTTGTTTATTTCTTCTGTTCAGCACAAGTTCATGGTCATTTGCTCTATTCATTTCTGAATATGAATGTACCTAATCATTACATCTCTGATTTTTTCACTTATCCCATTCTGAATAATGCATCTATATTGAATAAAAAAAGTTATTTGCTAATCTATATTGATAAGATTTTGTTGTTATACCCATCATGCGGACTATTAAATAGGAACTTAAAGGATGGACTTTAGATTGTCTGTTTTTCCCCCAATTTTTACTGATATGGTCATATTATTGTCCTCCACAGACCAAATGAAACAAGAAAGCCACGAACATTGAGCAAATTAAATGACACTAGTACATGGGAAAAGAGAAGAATAAAGGGAAAAATTGCTGTCCAGAAAATGGTTGTTGATTTGATGGAGCTATACCTGCATAGGCTCAAACAGAAAAGGTCCCCTTACCCCAAAAATCCTGCAGTGTCCGAGTTTACTTCTCAGTTTCCGTACAAGCCTACTCCAGATCAAGAACAGGTGTACTTCTCTCCGTATTGTATTCAAGTAAAAATCATGTGACTCTCTTAAACTTTTTCTTGTTATTTTCTTTGAAATACTGCCATCATGAAAATTTGAAAACAGGGAATTGGGAATTCCAAATTAGCAACTTAGGAATCCACGTGGATTCCAGGGACCAACTATGGGGCCATGAGGGGCAGTAGAGGCTCTTACTGCTTTTAATAAGGATACTATGGTTGCCATTTTTTTATTTGATAAATATGGATGACATTGCGTGAGTGGAATTTATGTAAGTACTGTTTCAATATAAATACGGATGACATGCGCGTGTGCGAAGGTGAGGGCGCTTTAAGATCTCATGTACAGTATTCACAGTTCGCCTAATTTTGGACTACATTTTATTTTGGTCTTAAGAAACTATGTTGAATTCCTTTTTCAAGGAAACAAAGAAAAAAATCTTAGCTTGCTGAGAGAGTTTGCTGCGAGCTTATAGGCTTGCAGCTTATTTTAAGCTTCCACCATGTTTTAGTTATGTGATCCTTCTGTTAATTATGTAAGTCATCTTTAGGTGGTTCATGAGTGTGCTGCATAATTGAATAATATATATATTGAGGGACTTGCCTCCCTTTTTCTAGTGTGCGATGTGTCACCTGTATGGGCGACACGTAACTTTTCCTGCTCCATTTTGTGTATATAGAAATAGAAATTCATTTTAAGCGCATTGTTCCCTCCTTAGATGCCAGGCGAATTTGCCTTTTAATATCATAATATAAATAAAATAACCCCCCTCATTCATAAGGAGTTATTTTGACTGACAATTTCTCCTCTCTTGATTTTAGAAATCTCGAAGGAAAAGAAAAAAAGTTTCATTTGAAGAATCCTGGGATCTAGAAATTAGTTTTTAGTAAACTTAGTGTCAAATTGAATCTTATCAGATTTCCTACAATGTGACGATGAAATTGGAGTAGTTGTGGGTTTAAGAAAATCTTTGAGGGTGCAACACATCTATTGGCAATTTTTTTGGGTTGGTTGTATCCCGGGAGTGTGCTCACCAGGACCCGATTGCATCTGAGTTGGGGGCATTCAACACTTCGACGAAAGTGAGACCATCTCGTGCCTCTAGGTCCCTTCGATATATATATTTTTGTTTAATTTATTTTTTTATCTCCCTATAACTCTAATATCCAGACCTAAACCCTTTGGTTTAATTAGATTAAAGAGTTTTCTATAAATACTAAGTGACATTCACTTTGGTCAAGGAGTGATTCTGCAATAATTTTCTTACCAGGAATCCAACATGGAATGCATATTTATCGTGAAAAGCTTTTACAGTTATTTCCATACGAATTTTATAGTGGGTTACTGTGATTTGAATCTATTTACTCATATTGTGTGGTGTGCTGGAATCAAGCTTCTATCCTTTTGCCAATTGGTATTTGTTTTGATCTGCATTTTAGTATTTGGGACATTTAGCTATTCTATTGCCTGTAGGTTTTCTATTTCCATGGTTCAAATGAACTAGAATAACTAAAGTCTCAACTATTTCAGAGTTTTCTATTACTTATTTTTGGGTTTTAACAGATTTTGATTCTATGTTTACTGAATGTTGATTGCCATTGCTAGGCAGGATTTAGTTTCAATTCTACCTGATTGTTTTTTTTTTTTTTTAATTACTCTTTGATATCTGTCTCATGTTCTGTATTTCTTTAAGTTCGACAGGCTTTTATTGATGTGGAAAAGGACTTGACAGAGAGGGAGACTCCAATGGACAGATTGATATGTGGGGATGTTGGATTCGGCAAAACGGAGGTTGCACTCAGGGCTATATTTTGTGTAGTCTTGGCAGGAAAACAGTCTATGGTTCTAGCACCAACTATTGTCCTAGCCAAGCAACATTTTAATGTCATTTCAGAACGTTTTTCTCGGTATCCTGAGATTAAAGTTGGACTTTTAAGTAGATTTCAGGTATGGTGAAGATAAATTAAAGAGGCATGTTTGTTTTTGTAGCAGCTTTATTGAATACTGATTACTACTTTGTCTGTTAAACCCATACGGTTAATTGTCAGATACTTGTCGTACTCCTTCACATTTTAAATACATTTAAGGAGAAAGGTAACATCAATGATACTGCTCTCCATGTTTGCGGTATTGTTCGGAAGTTGGATCAGATCATTAATGTTATTACAGTTGCAGTGTTTACACTGTATGACATATTTCCACCTTATTTACCATTTTGATGCATTTATTTGCAAGAAAAATCATTCTCTCTTCAATTCATTGCTATTTAATGGGCTCGGTGATGATGGGAGATGGATTTGTTCTTGCTTGTTTCTGTAAATTTATGGTGCTCTTTTGTGTCTTATTGGACTGAAAAACTGGTACTATACCATATGCATTGCAGACCAAGACAGAGAAAGAGGAGTATATTGCAATGATTAAACAAGGGCTTTTGGATATCATTGTTGGAACTCATGCACTTCTTGGGAACAGGGTTGTGTATAACAATCTTGGTCTTCTTGTTGTTGATGAGGAGCAGGTATGCTTGCTGATACTTTGTTATAGTAATTTTCATCAAGTCCTCTTTAAGTGATTAGTATCTGTTTTTATCATGCTTTACATAACAGAGGTTTGGAGTGAAACAAAAGGAGAAGATTGCTTCATTCAAGACTTCAGTGGATGTTCTCACTCTTTCTGCTACGCCTATACCTCGCACCCTTTACTTGGCATTGACAGGATTTCGTGATGCTAGGTAAATGATAAAATTTTTAATAATTCTTGTACATTTGAAATTCCATGAAACTGTTGGTAGCAATTTTTTTTTTTTGTTTTTTTTTAATAAGTAGATCTTTGTAGTAAAGTTCCTAGTATTGAAGCAATATGTTGGATGGTTACAAGATGTATGATAATTCATCTTGGGTAAACATGTCTCTGAACAGTGGTGTTCTGTTGTGGACTAGTTTGGGCTAGTCTTTTTTGTGTTTGAGTAGAACTTGGTAGCAAAGTTCCTTCTATTGAAGCAATATGTTGAATGGTTACAAGATGTATGGTATTTTATCTTGGGTGAATGTATATCGGAACAGTGATGCGCTGGTGTGGGCAATTTTGGGCCACATTTTCTTTGTGTGTAAGTTGATCTTGGCAGTAAAGTTCCCATTATTGAAGCAATAGGTTGAATGGTTACAAATTGATGATAATTTGTCATGGGTGAACATATATGATCAGTGACGTGCTGTTGTGGGCTACTTTGTTCTACTTTTTGGCATATCTGAAGAATGATTTTATTTAATGGAGATTTGATGGAGAAGAACCTACTAAAAGGATTTATCTATCTTACTAAGCAAGTAGTAATGATGCGTTAATGACAATAGTGGAACAATGATGTTGATGATATTATCATTGTTGATACCTGTTGATGTCGTGCTTTTGTTTTTTGGGAAAGGTGTTGATGTTGTTGTTATTCTTATCATCATATCAACATCATCATCGTTTGTTGTTTTCAGTCTTGTTGAGTCTGAACAATGACGGATTTGAACATCAATCAAGCTCTCTACAGCAATGTCAAGACTATCATATTTCATTGTCTCCTTTGTCTTAGAAATACAAGTTTATCCTTTTACAAGAATGTTACTGTTGCTAATGGCTGAAAATGTGTGTGTAGTTCACCCCCTCAAGGAGTCCATTTTATCATTCCTAGTTATTCAGTGACTTCTGGTGGAAAGTAAAGCCCTATAGAAATTGATTGCTAACTAGTAACTCACAACTAGAAGTTGCTTCATTATGTGATGTGAATTGATGCCCAAATACTTTATTCAGCATCATTTAACACTAGGCTCTTTTCAGCGGTTCATTTCTTTTTTTGTCTACAACTTGTGTTTATTTTTGTGGATGACATGTCAAACTTGGAGCCTTGTCCTTACTGGTGTGCCTTCTTTTCTCAGTTTAATTTCAACTCCACCTCCAGAAAGGGTGCCTATTAAAACTCATCTTTCATCATATAGTGAAGAAAAGGTTATTTCAGCAATTGAGTTTGAACTAGCTCGTGGGGGTCAAGTTTTCTATGTTCTGCCTCGTATTAAAGGTAACTTGTTCTAATCCATGAAAACTTATTTGTCTTGTCTTTTATGTGCAGTAATTTTATCTGAGGAAGTTTTCTTTTCTTAAGGTTACCTCATGATTTTAAAAAATTCCAGGGATGTGAGAATGTCATACGTGTTCATTTGAATACGTTCTCATATTTTATTAATTGGAATACTAAAGTCAACAACAGAATGTCGTGCAAAAAAAAAAAAAGAAAAAAAAAAAGGGAAAAAGAGGCAGCGAAAAGTTACTGTATCTTTTTGTAAAAGAACATTTAATTTATTGATCGTGTACCCATGTATGTTTTCAATAGCAAGAACTTTCAATTTTACGTTTGTTTCTTGTTTGTTGGATTTGTTATAATCTTTTTTATGTAACAGGACTTGAAGAAGTCATGGAATTTCTTGAACAGTCATTTGCTGGTGTTTCAATGGCTATTGCTCATGGGAAGGTACACTTCTTACTGCTTGATGCATTTTATTCACCTATTATTATAATGTGCCTACAGAATTTTGTTCTTGGTTCTTGAGGCATATTTTAATTAGTATTTGTTTTCCTGCAGCAATATTCTAAACAATTAGAGGACACGATGGAAAAGTTTGCTCAGGGAGAAATCAAGATCCTTTTATGCACAAACATAGTCGAAAGTGGACTCGACATTCAAAATGCCAATACCATAATTGTTCAAGATGTTCACCAGTTTGGACTTGCACAGCTGTACCAGGTACAGCCATGGTGCTCCTTGCTCTACCCCTCAAAGAACTATTTAGAAGTTGGTAACCTTTCCCTGGAGGAATCATAGAGATTTGTTTTTCATAGTCATAGTTTCAAGGGGGCATGTCAGATGTGATGAGAGTCATTTGCTCGAAAAACGTCTATTGTGAAACAATATTCCAGACAAAGAATTGAGAGAGTAGTTTGTGCATAACCAATTTCTAGAGTAGTTTTGTGCTTTTGAACCTGGTATGGATACTGTAGGTATAACTTTCTTAGTGGGCTCCAGAACTCTTTGTCATACATGGAATTTATGACAGCTTACTGGTTACAGTAGACAGAGCATGCACTTGAAACTCAAATGATACAAGTTTTTGTATTTTCCTGGGGATTATTTTGTGCTTTGTCATCTACAAATTATTGGCTGTTATAATTTTGGCTTTAACTTGAGTTGATTATAATCATTTATTAATGCCAATAAGTTTTGATACTTGACTCCTTTTCTGGCAACAGCTGCGTGGAAGGGTTGGTCGAGCAGATAAGGAAGCACATGCACATTTATTTTACCCAGATAAAACCGTGCTGTCTGATGATGCATTGGTGCGTTGTCTATAATAGCTCTCTGTTTAAATATTTATGGAAGCTCTCTGTTTAATATGAAATACTTGCTTTGAAGGCTATATAATCTTGCAACTTACCGGTGTTTTTTTTGTGTTAGTTTTTCGTAAGATGAACGTAATACTCCAATAACATTTTGAGTGGCTTTTCTCGGAACAATAGATGTGCCATTGTATCGGTGCCCTTTATAGTAAAACTTGTTATGTTCTTATGTCTAGGCTAAATTATTGAAACCTTTTCCAAAGATACTTATGAAAGATGAATTTTAGGAGAGACTTGCAGCCCTTGAAGAGTGTCGAGATCTTGGCCAAGGTTTCCAGCTGGCAGAGAGGGACATGGGAATAAGAGGGTTTGGAAATATTTTTGGTGAGCAACAGACTGGAGATGTTGGAAATGTCGGAATTGATCTCTTCTTTGAGATGCTTTTTGAGAGTTTATCAAAGGTATGCATTCATTTCCTGTTCAAGTTTGTCAATATTAGGGACATTTGCATACGTGTTGTTTGATTTTCTCTAGTATGTTTTAGTATCTTCTATCAGTTCCTTTTCAAACTTCTGATGTTTTAAAATCTTCCTTGATCTGTAAGATGTGGAAATATGGTTTAGATATTTAATTTTATTCAAGTTCTTTGTAAGATCCCGATCTCCGTAATTGCATTTTCATTTAGACAAGGCAATGTGTGGCTCCAGTTTACTATAAAGCTGATTTGTTTGTTTTCTTTTTTTCACATTCGTGCATGTCAATGTTTTGGGCACTATACTTGTTGCTGCTAAATGGTCGTGTTTAAACAGCATTATTGTCATTTCAAGATCTGTAGATAATGTTTCTACTTCATTAAATTGCTGTTGAAGTTTATTGTGTGTGGTTGTCATTCTGCAATGCTTGTGTGTGTTTTCCCCCAGGTTGAAGAGCATAGATTAGTGTCAATCCCTTACAGAACTGTCCAGGTATCTCCTGATTAAATAAGCCTAAAATTAATAGTCATGTTATGTTTATGTTCCCTTTGCACTGTATCCTTAAGCTGTATCTGAAGTCTAAACCAATCACTAATGTCTATATGTGAATATATGACAGCTTGACATTGAGATAAGAACTCATCTTTCTTCGGAGTATATACATCACTTGGATAACCCAATTAAACTAATTGATGGGGCTGAAAAAGCTGCTGAAAAAGACATTTGGAGTTTGATGCAATTCACAGAACAATTGCGCCATCAATATGGAAAAGAGCCACATCCAATGGAGGTATATCTGAAACATCTTTGCCTCACTTTAGAAAGTAGTTTTCCATATATTATTTTAGAATTTATTGTATGAGAAGCCTTCTCATACAAAATCCATGAGAAGACTGATTTTATCTGTCAGCCCTTATTAAATTTTAAACAATGTTGAGAAAACCTGAAAACCATGAGAAGGCTAATCTCCATCCTACAACCTTTATTAAAGCTTAATGAATGTTGAGTTGAACATGGTTACAGCTTAACCATAGTTATTGATTCATAAGTGGATGGTGGAGATCAGCCCTTTCTACTTGTTACATGGGCAAAATAGACTCGGTATTTATTTATGAAAATTTTATACTCCATGGATATGCAGATGCTTTTGAAAAAGTTGTATGTGAAACGGATGGCTGCAGATCTTGGTATTAGTAGAATATATACCATGGGTAAGATTGTGGTGATGACCGCCAACATCAGAAAGAAAGTGTTCAGGCTAATGGTAGAGTCAATGACATCAGATACCTTTCGAAATTCATTGGTCTTTGATGGTAACCAAATTAAGGTATATTACCACCTTCTACAGTAACTTCTATTTTGGCTTTTTCTTGTAAATGGTTGTGTTTTGGCTTTACCTCCGAATTTCTTCCATGTTAAACAAATAAATGCAACCAATAAATTCTAGTGATCCAAACTGTGATGTATTTCATAAAAGAACTGAAATTCCATTAATGTTTTGGAAATTATATGACATAAGATTATGATTTTCTATCACTTGTTATAAAACTCTCACGATTTTTATCTCTTCGGCTACATCAGTTTATTTTCAGCATTATTTTAAATTTAGTATTTATATCTGTTTCCACTTTTTTGTGTAGCACATATGTACATGTACTAACCTAGGAAACATTGGTGAATCCTCTATATCTCAATTACCTTTCTTGAAGGTCTACCAAAACAGGAAAAAGATATTTCAATCACTTACGTACAAGTTTACTGGTTTTAACGCAATTACGGTTACCACCGAAAAGGAGAGAATTTTTTATCACATATCAAATCAGAAACCATGGGTCATGTATTTTCTTTCAAGGACTTCCAGAGAAGGCATATGTAACATGTATAGTTAAAACAAGGTTCAATTTTCTAAGAATCACTTAGCACATGACCATACAATTGTAGATCCTAACTATACTTTTGTTCTGAATGGCATGGAGACATTGATATCAAATTTGGGCTTGCGTTTACACATATGGGCCTTTACTGTTGCAGGCAGAGCTTCTTCTGGAGCTACCCAGTGAACAGCTCCTCAATTGGGTTTTCCAATGCTTAGCTGAACTTCATGCATCGTTACCTGCACTCGTGAAATACTGAGTTCTTTGTTATAAGCTAAGAGTTATTGGACTTCTCTCTTTGCAGTGAAATACCGAGTTCTTTGTTATAAGCTAAGAGTTATTGGACTTCTCTCTTTGCAGTGAATCGCAGTGGTAAAGCGATCCCTCAGGAATTGGGGAAATTTCTCTCAATATATAGGCCATCTTCCATTAAATTATGGATGCTTCTATTTGATCCATAGACTCTTACTGTAGATGAAGCTTGGATGGCCAGCATACAGTACGATATTTTCAGGGATTTGAAACTAACCATACAGTTGCTACTTTTCAATCTTTACACAATTTATTTTCTTGTTGAAGGTGGAGTCACTCATAAGCACACTAACTAGATACTGGGTATGTATCTATAAGGTAAACTTTGAAGAACTTCTAAATCTTCTATGCTGGTGCTGATTGTGTTCTCTGTTTCAGGTTTGTCTGACATTAACCGACTGTCCGAATGTTTCAAGAAACCAACCTGATTATCATCTTTGACTGACTCAGGTGAGTCAAAGCTTGAAATTTGAAAATATACTTAAAATATGTCTTCCGGTGAATTTGATGAGCATCATTTTTTAGTTGCAGAATGATAATTACCTCTTTTTTACACCTTGATGTTTGTTTCATGATTTTCTTAAAGAATGCTTAAATTTAAATTTTTATATGAAAGTTCATTATAAATTTTAAAAACATCCTAGTTACATGAAATAGTGAAAGTCATAGAAAGTAACAGAAAAATACAAGTTCATTAAACTCGTAACAGAAAAAAAAGAAAATCCAAGTTCATTAAAATATAAGTAATGTGAAAAAAGGTGGAAGTTTTTTTTTATTTTTTTAACATTTCTGTAATTTATTATTTGTAGTTTAATTTTTTATTTCCTTTTCTTCAATGGAAACAAAAATGTGCCAAACCTCCTGAAAAAAATTACATCTTCAATAAATCCAGGAAAATGATATTTGTCACTCTGTTGAGTTGAAGATGGAAACCTTGTTCCGAAGAACTTCATATACAGTCTAATGGTTTATAATTTTGCTGAGTTTCTGCCTCAGCCCTTGGCCAATCCAGCAATGAATGCGATCAGTTCATATGAGAACCTTCATTGTTGTTGTGCCTTCCATTAAAAATTCAAACTTGCCCAAAAGCCACCAATGTGGGAAAGAATGTTCTTGGATTCCTTTTCTAATGGCTGAACTTCAGATAAATCTTCCATAACTTTGTTAGTATATTCAGATTTCATATTGATACCAGCAAACTCTGGGTCTTCCATATTTATAATTTTAGGCTTTAATCAAATCATGGATGGGGGGAGCATTCAATAAGCCAGGCTGGAGACTGCTTGCCTGATGTAGTTAAATGGCAATTTGGGATATGTGATGTAATGAATTAGCATGCAACTCTTGTACACCCGCAGGATGGCATCAGGTCTGCTTTTGCCTGCAGTCACAATTTTTGGTTGGGAAAATATTTGTGAGATGGAAGTTCTGTAATAAAAAGCTTTTTTTTTAAGAGATTTCTCTCTCTCTCTCTCTGTTCTTTTTGCTGTTCTCTATTGTCGGGTTTTGGTTATTTAAAATGGCCTGATTTGACAGACTTGCCTCAGGCAGGACCTGGGGGGACCTGGGCTCATGTCCCTCATTCGTCGAACCCGACTCCAACTTTGTAAGCAGTGATCAGGACATTCAAATATTGTTGGAGTGCCCAGGGCACTGATTCAATTTGTTTATAAACAAAACAGTTGAAAGGAAAAAGTGTAGAATACTCCAATGGATATCACCCATGGTTAACCTCCAATCATCTATGTGATTAGCCTTGGACAATGGTTATCCATAGGTCAACTAACTATGGTACAGTTTTCTTAATTGTAACCAATGGTCATAGAATCATAGTAATTTGCAGCGAGTCTCATCTAGACATGCAAGCAAATCATCACCATCATCATCATTGTCAAAGCATTTTTTCAACTAGTTGAGTTGCGCTACACGAATCTTGATCCACTAGGGGCTATAGCCTCAGTGAAGTCATTAGTTCCCGTATATCTCTTAGGATTCATGATAAGTTTTGACAAAATTTTATGTAGACATGCAAGCAAATAACACCATATTCACAGCATCACATGAGGAGACCAGCATTTTACATTGAGATTTCAACAATGTATTCATTGACCTATCTACAACCAAAAAAAAAAAACTTGATTTATATGGATTGCAAGGAAAGAACCACATATGAACAATCGCAACATACAAGTACTTACAGAACAACGCTACTGAGGGTCACTTGCTCCTGCATCAAGTGAACTAACAAACAGTAAGTTGAAGGGGATTTGCATGGTGGAAATGTAGTTGAGGAAGTGTTACACAGACAGCCTGTGGATGTGTGGTACTCAGCCTGTGTGTCGTATAATTCACCATGTACTTATATGGCCTAAATGCACAGCAAATAATTTGCCATGCGTAGCAAATAAGTCAAAATTTAATTTATGAAGCAGCAGAAAATGCACTTTTAAAAGCACACATATTGGATGGACATACAAGGCACATATTAAACTTCTGTTATATAAAGTAGTCAATCTAGATGATTCTATTCCTCAATAAGATTTCTTAATAATCCTATTCAATATTGAGTTATTTCCAAGTCAGAAAAGAAAAAAAAGAAAAAGTTCATGCATCTGATCCACAAGCTCAGTCCAGTAAATTAGCATAACCAGTAAGTCAAATTACAAACTTCATTTTTCTTATCCTCCATCAAAAACCACATTTTAATATGACTTGCACTTAAACAAATTTCAATGCGACTGGTACTACAAAATCAGATTTCAACTTGACAGAGTTGCAGTTCAATAGTCAAGACTTCGACTTAATTGAAACGCACTTTATAGGTTGCACCTTAGTGTGATCATTGCGCACCATGACATCCAGATATTAATGATTGATATGCTTCAAAAATAAGATCTTAACATGATAAATTCAACACTAAACAACCTAAATCTTAACAATTTGAATTATGATGCAACGATAAACTTGTGGGCACAGCTAAAACATCGTTCTTGATATATTTTATGCGGATCTTTGTACAATCTGACAAGAATGTGGTACCATGCATCATGAAAGTGAATATGGCTTATTTAGATCTCAGTTCAAGTCATAGAGGATATATCAACACATAGTTTGAACCCATAATTTGATGTGGATTATAAGGAGCATGAGCATGACCCTATAAACCGCACAATACATCTTGTCACTCCATAAAAAACGATAAAATCAAACTACTCATAAAAAAAGCTTCATGACAAGAGTAGATGGAGGAGATCAAAATTCTTCTGTTCCTGAGTAAGCTTAGATGAGGTTACCTTACAAACCTATTGGTATAGACCCATCAATGCCTGAAATGCCCCGTTTACCACTTACTGAAGCATGAGTATTTTGGTCACTTGGTCCTGCATCAAATGAAACAACTAAAAGTAAGTTCAAATGGAGGTGAAATTTCTTCTCCTCGAATCTATTTATGCCTACAAAAAAAAAAATTATTCTATTTGAAGTATCTCACCTGAGGTAAAGTACAGACCTGTAGGTGTGCAACACCCAACTCCTGCACTGCCCCTTAATGATGGGCAAATGCGCTTATCATGACCATTTGATTTGCATATAGTACATTTTCTAATATGTTTTGGGGTACTCTCAAAACAAGGTTTTAATTCAGAAGAAAGAGTCCTCCCTTTCATTTTCTCTTGTTGAGGATCGTGCAAAGTCATCTGGTTTATTGAGTTTTCTGATCCACTTTCACTGATGTTATCTTGTCGAATATTTCTAGTGATTGGAGTGCCTCTTTGATCAAACATCTCAATATTTTGTTTTGCAATAGCAACTTCCGCATAAGCCTTTTCAAGGGCACCCAGTGCCACACGATAAGTATACTTTGTTATGGCCCCATCCTCTGCAATTTTAATGGCTCGGCGACATAGATCATTGTATCGCAAGGTTAGAGATTCTTGACCATCAACTCGCATTTCGATTCCACATTCATCTGATGAATACCCACTTTTTACATTTTTGGTCCATCGTTTTAAGATGTAATGAGGTGGGAGAGTCAAAATGTTTTCCACTCTGAACACAATCAATATATGTCTACAAAGGATTCCTGAAAACTCAAAGAAGCAGCAGCCACAACTAGCTCTCTTTTCTTGAACATTCAACGTAACAGTGTATGTCCTCTTTTCTTCCTCAAATTTTGCTACTCTGTATGTAATGCTTGCCCCATCCTTCTCTTTCCTTTCAGTAGTATAGGCAAGACTGCGCATGATTTCCTCTTGAAATTTTGCAAACACCATCTTTGTGTAAATGTTTGCTGCTTGTTTCTCCATGGGTAAATGCGTCTTCAGAGCCGGTTCTTCATGAACTGATTCAAAGTCGGCCTGAATTTCCTCTTCAAACTTACCATCTAATGCTTGTGCATAATTCTTTAAAAGCTCTTGGACAGTGGTGTCTACATTCACAAACCCATCAAAAAATGATTTTATACTTCCACTTTGTTGGGTTGCGGATACCTCTCCAAAGAAGGTGTTTCGCAAATATGCTGGTACCCATTGGTCACGCATTTTGTACATTGATTGAACCCATTGATTCTCCCTCAGATCATAACTATCAATGAGCAATCTCCAATTTGATTCAAAATCATCGATTGTCTTGGTAGTGTGGATGCATTTATGAAATTCATCTTTAAAATTTCCATGGGCGTGACATATATGAGACAACTTTTCTGGGACTTCCTGCAAAATATGCCACAAGCAAAGGCGATGACGGGTTCTAGGGAACACTTGTGCAACTGCTGCTCCTATGGCTTGGTCCTGTTCAGTGGTAATTGAGATAGGGTGATGCCCAGACATTGCTTTAAGCCATGTATCAAATAGCCAGGTAAATGAATTTTCGCTTTCGTTCAAAATTAGTGCACATCCAAATAATACAGGTTGGTGGTGGTGGTTCACTCCAGCAAAGAAAACAAATGGTAATCTGTATTGATTCATCTTATAGGTAGTGTCGAAGATAACTGTATCCCCAAAGTAATTGTAGGACATCCTCGACCTTCCATCGGACCAAAAGCAATTAGTCATATTCTCTTTCTCGTCGACTTGTATTGCATAAAAGAATGCAGGGTTCTCAGCTTGCATACGCTTGAAATAGTCAAGGATAGCCTCAAGGTCTCCTTTTTCAAGGGTCATTTGCCGTGAAGTACCAATATAGTTTCTAATATCTCGATCGGGCAAGCCAACATTGCTAAAGCCACCACTAGTTTCTTTATCGAAGAAGGACATTATAACACTCGAGCGTGCTCCAGATCCAGTATATGTATCAATCAGGGATTGTGCGGTTCTTGTCAAACTCCTGTGTGACCGGAGGTATTGCACTCTGCTCGGTGACTCTAATGCATGGCAATGGTCCCTTATAAATTTTGTAATAATCCACTTCTCAGGTTTCTCTTTCCTTATCATAATCATTGCCTTGCACCCTTCTCTCGTAATTGCTCGAGGACGTTTAACTCTCTTCTCATTAATTACATACTTCTTTTCACGAAATCCTTCCTTAGAACACACAAATTTTCGAGAAACAACGGTTCCATCATGAGTTGAACGATGAGTAGAACTTATACGAATACTAAAACCAGCTCTCCTAGCATATGCATTGTAGAATATCTTTGCAGCGTCATCAGTTACGAACTCCATACCTTCATGTGGTTCTAAAATTGGACCTCCACTACTTGGGATTAATTCCTTCTCAATGGAATTTTCAACCCTTTCACCATCACCACCGCCTTCACGATTTTCGACTCTGGGTGCCTCAGCTAAATCCATTGTTGTATTCTCTTGCTCATCAACATGATTTTCAATAACGGGTTCCTCAAAAGAATCATTTGTCATGTCCTCAGTTTCACTTACACAATTTTCAGCATTGAGCCCAACATTATCATTCTTCGTTTTATCCTTATTCTCATCCACAAGACGAGGAGCATCCACTTCCATAGAACAATCAGTGGCTACAATTTCTGAACCCATGTTGGCTTCAATCAATGCATTACTCTCATCTTCAGTGGTTTCCATAACAGCATTTTATCCAAATAACCTGCAAAAATCCATCACCCCATAAATGAGAAACATCAAAGTTTTCAGAATTCCAAAGGGAATAAAAAAGGTGCAAGGTTTTTATTCAACTAAGGCGTGCACCAATAAATCTATTGATAAACTAAAAAGGAAAATGTTGATACTTACTTTTTTCTTGATTGGTAATGAATCTATTGATATTACAAATACCAGTGTTAAGTATGGCATCATTATGAGCAAACAACCTACTTTCTCATAGAAATATTGAGAACTTACATAGAACACTAACAAAGAGTTATTTTCAACCAACAAAACATTACCTTTTGTAAGGTTTTTCATGTCCCTGATAAGTTTTGAATGTAAAGATCCTAACTAGTAACAATATGAACAAGAGTGCAAGCAAATTTACTGGTAACAAATGAGAACTTGTTTTAAGAACAAATAGTGCCAAGAATTCAAGGCAAATAACTTCTCTAGATTCAAGAAGCTAGAGGAACCTATCATAAAAGCAAAGAGAACTCAATAATTATCAGCTATTGGAAAACAAAGCAATTAACATTCTTCCAATTAGTAGCTCAAAAAGCAAAGTTCAATCAGCTGAAATTCAGTATATTAAAGCAGCCACCAAAAAAAGAGCATTCTATACATGTCAATATTTCACAACAATTTCTCAAGGGAAAAATGCAAAGAAAAAGTTCCAAAGCAAAGAAAGTGAAACCCATCGCCCCACCCACAAAAAAAAAGGGGGGGGGGGGGGGGAATGTATACAACATGACCATTTACTTTTGATACAAGCAAGTTACAATTGTTATGGACCATTAAATGCAAACTTTGGTGGTTGGGGATGGGTAATTGCTTATCCATAAAGTAAAAAATAAAACTTTTTGAATGCATGGCACACTTCAATATGTCCTATTTCACATCCAATGGCTATCTAATGGCTAATAATGATTGTATTAATGGATGAGTTTTCTATAAGGCCTAGGCTTTTTGAAAACAAAATAAAGCCTCAATTCAAATCCTCATCCGAAAAGCACTTTCAGCATCATAAAGAAATCTTCATGATGGCTCAAAATCTCTTTCCAACACCGACAATGAAATTCAATACTCAAAAAATGGTAAGATCTATGATCACTTATTTTTAAGGCAAAATGGACAGCCAAGATAATTTGTGACAATATACACTATTTTTAAAAGTTAAATTTTTTTTTTTTTTTTTCACAGCCATATTATTCAAGCCAATGTGAAGGATGTAAAGGTTTTCTAATGCTTAAATTACAATTTTCCATGAGTTGTGAGGTGAGACTTACTTATTTTGATAAGGCTCCAGCCCTATCAAACCACTTTCCAAAGTCAATAGTCTTGCCGTATACAATTGAACATAAAAGGGACAATACAATTGAACATAAAAGGGGCGGAAAACCCTGCTTGATCAACCCTACAGAAAATGGCAATACAATTGAACATAAAAGGGGCGGAAAACCCTGCTTGATCAACCCTACATAAAATGGCAATACAATTGAACATAAAAGGGGCGGAAAACCCTGCTTGATCAACCCTACAGTTTGCAAAGGGGTAATGTCATACACAGCCCGTGTATAGCATATAGGTACACAGCTGTGGAGGGGAATACATCCTCCATTTTCAATGATGAGCAGTAGATGGGTAAATTTCCGTCCCCGAGTGCCATGGTTAATCTCCACTGTCTAAAGTTGAGTAGAGTCAGTGGGTTGCCCGGCCGTGTACCATATGCCATGTACAAACTGTGTATGCCACAGTTATTAAATATGTTACAATTCACATCCAGAGAGAGAGATTGGGCCTCTGGCCCGGCTTTCGAGAGAGATAAAGTAGGTGCCTGCCATTTGGAGAGAGAATGGCAGATCCCTCTGTAGAGAGTGAGAGAGAAACACAGAGAGGGTCGCCAATCTGAGTGAGACGAGAGAGGATATGAGAGAGAAGACAGCGAGATTGAGACGAGAGAGGATATGACAGAGAAGGTATAGAGAGATAGAGACTGACATGGCTGCTTAAAGAGAGAGATTCACATGGCTGTTTAGAGAGAGAGAGAGAAGAGAGAGAGAGAGAG